GTTTTCCAAGAAGCCCCGGGGTGGGAAGCCCCACCCTGCTCCCCCAGTGCCGGATTCCTTGCCTTTCCCGGCACAGACGGACGCAGCTCCCGCCGGGTTCTCCCCGTCCCCGAGGGCTGCCGAGGGGCTCAGGAGAGAGGCAGGAGCTGCTGGAGAGGAGGGAGAGGAGGCAAGCAGGTCATGCCATTCAGAGGAACCCTTCCTGCGTCCCCAAGCCCTGGGATCCCTCTTCCCCTGTGAGGGTTTGGAGCTGGAATCCCCCGCGCCTGACATGGGGCAGGATGTGGAGCTGCTGGCTCCTTCCCCCGCCGGAGAGCTCCTTGATGAGCCCCATCAGGACCTTCCTGTGCCAGAGGGAGCACCTGCCTCGGAGGATGGCACAGGGGACCTCGACCACGGCCCTGGCCCCAGCTCTGATGCTGGCCTGCTTCCCACCTCTGCTTTGAGCTCCTGCCCTGACATTCAGATCGAGCCAGTGGCTGAGAAGGAGGAGGAAAGCCCAGCTGTCCCCAGGAGGTTCTCCTCACAAAGACCCTCCAGCCTTGGGAGAGATCTGGGGGCAGGAGAGGGCCCAGCACCGTTTCCCCCAGAGCCTGGGCAGAGCCTGCCCCTGCTGTCATCCTCCCCAACAGCTTCCATGAGCACCTTCAGCTTCGAGCCCCTGAGCAGCCCCGAGGGCCCGGTGGTCATCCAGAACCTGCGGATCACCGGGACCATCACTGCCCGCGAGCACAGCGGGACCGGCTTCCACCCCTACACCCTGTACACCGTCAAGGTAAGGGCTCCTCACCCCTTCCCACATCCCTGCCACTGCCTGGGCTGCTGTTTGCAGTGAGGACTTGCTCTGTGTGGGTCTCCACAATACGTTTTGTCAGTGCCAGTGCCCCCATGAAAATATATTCTCCCTTGTTTCTGCTGTGAGATGTGACCAGAAAGATGGGACTTTTAACCCTCTGTGTTCTCAGAGGTGTATCCATGTCCTCAGTGGCCACACCGGGTGCCAATATTCAAATTTCAGCACTGATTGGTTTGACCACAAACTCCCAAAAAACTCACTTCCTTTTCAAACCAGGACAGTCTGGTAGTGGGGAAATACTGAGCGCTGTGACTGTTTGGGATTCCTGTGGGGCTGGTTGAATCTTTTCCTGCTTTTGTTCCATCATGATTGCTTCCTTCCTCTTCAGGGAAGGGTTGACTGAGGAATTGCTGGGTGGGGCCTGAGGGGGGAGCAGGGCTGTTGTAGGATGTGTGAGGATGATGCCTTTGCCTTCCTCCTCAGTATGAGACAGCCCTGGAGGGCGAGGCGGCGGGCAGCCTGCAGCAGGTGGCTTATCACACCGTGAACCGCCGCTACCGCGAGTTCCTCAACCTGCAGACACGGCTGGAGGAGAAGCCGGAGCTCCGCAAGTTCCTGAAAAGTCAGTGCCTGCAGTGGCCCTCTGAGAAAATCCTTGTTCCTCTTTCCCATTCCCTGTTCTCTGCTCCCAGGGCTTCCTGCCCTGCTCGTGCAGCTCTGGATGCTGGGCTGTGCCTCCTGCCCGCATCCTCCAGTGTTCTGTGCAGAGCTGGCTGGAGGAATGATTTATCTCTTGTGGATGCAAATTCCAGCATTTCAAACCATTCCTCTTCCCATTCCACGACAGTTGGTTTTACAGTTTTGCACCATAACAGTGCATACAAACACTGGTGTCTGTGTATTACCTTGGGCTGATGCCAGGCTGTGTGTGGGGATAGCCTTAATCATTAGAGCATTCAGGTTTTAATAAAGGCTAAAATCTATATTTAGATTTTTAGATTTTAATTTTTAATCTTGAACATTCTTAGATTTTAATTTTTTAATTAAGGTTACTGTGATTTTGCAGTTTTCTCAAGCTTGCCTGTTGGTCTGTTTCCTTTGTAGACATCAAAGGACCAAAGAAACTGTTCCCTGATCTGCCATTTGGAAACATGGACAGCGATAAAGTGGAAGCCAGGAAAAGTCTGCTGGAATCTTTCCTGAAGGTGAGATGTTTGTGTGCTCCTGTGAGCTAAAAGCAGAGCTCAGGACAGCTTTGTGCAGACAGTGGAGCACACCATGTATCTTCCACATTACATGATCAGGTTTGGAGCTGGACTCTGAAATGATCTGAATCTCCATCTGTCCTTGCAGCAATTGTGTGCAGTCCCTGAGATTGCAAACAGTGAGGAGGTGCAGGAATTCCTGGCCCTCAACACCGACGCCAGGATCGCCTTTGTCAAGAAGCCCTTCGTTGTCTCCAGGATAGACAAGGTGGGAAAAATGGGGAGCTGCTTACCTGAGCCCTTTCCAGCTGCTCTCAGGGATGCCCCCTAGGCTTCAGTGTCTCCTAGGAGCCACAACCCTTTCTTTGGAGCTGAGCTCAGCTTGCCCAGAAACCCATAAAGTGTCAGAGTTTGTGTTAAACAACCTATTTAATAGGTTCTTTCTATTTAATAGAAAATCCAGTTCTTTCTATTTAATAGAAAATCCAGTGCAAGTCTCAAAACTCCTGATGAGTGTAAGTACCAAGGATCAATGCAGTAATTAAAGGCAGTGATTAAAGTCTGGCTTTGCAGATTGTTGTCAATGCCATCGTGGACACCTTGAAGACAGCATTCCCCAGGTCAGAGCCCCAGAGCCCCACGGAGGATCTGAGTGAGTCAGAAGTGGATGGGAAATCCCAAACAGACGGGAAGAAAAGCAAGTAAGGGCTCCCTCAGCTTTGCAGAACAAGGGATTAATGCACAAACTGAGCCCATGGTGGGGAAGAACTGACTTGGGGCTTTATGTGTTGGGTAGTAAATTCTGTGTTGGGTAGTAAATTCTGTTCTGAAGCTGAATTACTTCCTCCTTCCCTTGCTGAACACAACTATTTGAGCTGCAGTTTATCTAAAGAGTTTACCAGCAATGCTCAGGTTTCCACAGAAGGTAGGTTTCTTCCTAAAAGAGCTCTGAGGTGGTGCCATTTGCCAGCAGAGACACTAATGGTCCTGAAGAATTGCATTTTAACCTTAAATATATGCAGGGAGTGATTGCAAAATACAGCTGTAAATTATCCACCTGAAAGTCCCCTCCTGCCTCTCCCTTGTGTTCCATCAGTGGCCTTGCCCAGAAAACATTTAAATAGCTATTTATGAGTAACATTTAAGATTGTTTCATGTATGTTCCTCATCAAATGTTGGTGCTGCTGACAGTGCCCAGTTTCATTGTGATTGTCTCATCGGTGGTTTTTCCCTCACCAAGGAAGGGAAGGTTTCTGTACAAGTATGGCTTTTTCTTTCCAAAAAGTGATGTTTTGCTGGAAAAAGCTGCTTTGGACAGAAAGACAGACTCAAAAAGTACAAGTTTGGAACCATTTTGGCTGAAAAGGACATTCCTTAATGATAAACAGGCTATTTTACAATTTGTCCCAAAATCCCAATGTCCTTTTGTATCTTTCTTTTTGTCAATGTTTATAATTAGATTTCACAATCCTGCTGAGTGTATTTCATCTCAGAGGCTTTTCTGAACACTTCCCTGTGTGTGCTGCAGTGCTCACACCTTGCTGACATCTGCCTACATGTCCCTATCTGCTTCTGTGTAACAGCTCCTTGTGGAATGCTGGAAAACCTTGGCTCAGCTCAGGTGCACGTGAGGAAAACTGCTTTACAGCTTTTGTTGTGTGGTTCCACTGCCAGCTCTGAGTTATCCTGGAGGCAGATGCTTTTTATGAACCACTTCAGGTCTAATCAGATTTCTTAGCTTGCATGTGGACAGCAGGAACAGGTCATGGGGCTTGGCTGAGGCTGGAAAACTCATGACTCACAACTTGCAGGGAAAACTGACTGTGCCATGGCTCTGCTTTTCAGGTCCAGGCTGAGGTTCTCCTCCAGTAAAATCACTCCAGTGCTGAGTGTGAGTGAAGCTCATGACAGGATCGTGTACTCCATCAGGGAGGGCAATGCTGTAAGTTCAGCTCCTCTTGTAATCCTTTCACAGCCCCAACCACTGCCCTGTTTGGGAATAATCACCATCCACCAGGGCTGTGGCTGCTGCAGCCTTGTTGCCACATGCCAGCTCTTGGCAGAAGGACAATGAGCAGCCCTGGCTGTGCTGTTGGCTACATCTGGGTGCAAACCAGGAGGTGGGAGGCTCCTGGCTCTGTGGCACTAACACACTTTTGTAGGTCTCTGGCACCCTGTCCCTGGCTGCTATGGAATCCTTCATCCAGAAGCAGGAGAAGCTGCTGGAAGCAGTCCCCAGCAAGGCTCCTGAAGGCCAGGGAGGCAGAGAAGCCAAGGAGATCTCTGTGCAGGAAGAAATGGATGGGCTGAGCACAGCAGAGCAGGGAGGACATCCAGACACTGACTCTGGTGAGCTCAGCCCCTCTCTCAGTGCTTGAATTTCTCCTCCTCGGTACCACAGCAGCTCCAACATCTGCAGGTTCAGCTTGAAAAGTCTGCAGGACCTGCTCTCCTGAAGGGAAAAGCAAATTAGGTTTTCCAGTGCTGTTTGGTGATTGTTCTGGGCATTGTTGCTGGTGGGAGCAAATTGGGTTTTGGCTCAGTTGTGTCACTGCAGATCTTCACCTTGGTGTGCTCAGCAGTCACTGCACAAAGAGGTTTCTTAAGGACATGCTGCTTAAACTGGCAATGTTCTAAAATCAAGCTCTTACAAACTAAAAATGGGCCAAATCACAGTTTCTTGGTAGTTTCCAGATAGCCTTGATATGTCTATACACTTAAAAGGACCTCTGAGACTAAGTCCAGATAGATTTGATGGGAGTGGCACAAATGTAATCTCAGTTCAAGGAATGATGTTCCCTTTTCTGCTTCTAGAACCCTCCTCTGAAGGGCTGCCCCAGAACAGTTACAAGATTATCCTAAACACATGCAAAAATATGTTCCCCAATCTTTTTTCTTGGAATAGCTGAGCTGTATCAACTGGAACTTCCCAAAAAACTTCTCTCCAGTGGTTCAAGTTTGGCAAGCTCTGACTGAAAGCACGTGTTTGTGATAGGATAGGCCTGGTGTTCTGAAACCCAGCCTTGTGCTACCAGCTTTGCCTGTCATCTTGGAACACATGTCCCTGGTTCTGGGGAAGCAGGACTGGAGTTTTGGAGGCCAGGGTTGTGCACAGAGCAGGCCAAGTTAGCTGAACTCTGAGGGAAATGGAATGTCAGTGATCTCAAATGCTCACAGATCTGGGATGCTTCAGGCTGGCCTGGCAGGGTGAGGAAAACAAATGTCTGGATAAAAAAGCAAAGCCATGTCCATATCTGCTCGTGGAGGGACTTCTGGGAAGTGGTTGGCCAGCAGCTCTCTGAGGAAGAGGATTTGGATGCTGTGGGAATAAACAGCTTGTGAGGATGCTCCCTGTGTGAGCTCCAGCCTGCTCCAGACTGCACTGGGAATTCTCAGGGGCAAAGCAAGTGGGCAGTAACTTATGCATGGCCCAGAGCAAGAGGTGCCAAGTGCTCTGTCTTTTCCAAGTGAAATCCTGGAATTAATTAGTCCAGCTTTGAGGACCAGGAAGAGCAGAGGAGTGGGGACCACAATCCCTCTTCCCTTTATTTCCCATAGTAAATTTTAAGTGTAAATTGTCTCTGTAGACAGACAGGTTGGAAGATGAGGCATGAGGAGAGCCAAATTAGGAGAAGCTGCTGCACAGGATCTCACCTGGACAGCAGAGCCAAGGCAGCAGCCTCAGGTCGGGGAGGTGGCCTGGGAGTGGCAGTCTGGGGCAGTTTTGTGGCACATCAATGAGCTTGTTCAGCACACCACCTCAGGGCCAAACAGCATGAAAGTAATTCCTTAGCAAATAAAAACTCTTTTTGCTGAAGGCTCTGACATCCCCCTGAGGATCAGAGGGAGGTTTGGTGTCCCAGGTCTGTGACAGCAGAGATATTTGGGTAGATGTGTGGGTTTGTGTTCTAACTGGTAAATCTGGTTTATCCAGATGTGTTTCATCCTGCTCCCTGCCAAGGCTGGGATCTGCCACACGATGGCAGCCCACAGCCACCAACGGAGCCTGGTGCATGGAAAACTGCTGGGAGAAGGGAAAGGCATGGGCAAAAACAGGATGAGAGTCCTCAGCAGTGAACCTCTTCCTGACTACAGTCACCACCTGCTCTGTCACCTGTTTGGGGCACATGGACTGGGATTTGATAATCCCACTGTTTAATTGAGAAGGAGCTGAGCCTTTGGTGCAGCCTTTGGTGGGAGACTGGGGCTGCCTGGCTGAGGTGGAAACCAGAGTGGGGAGGGCAGGTCCCAGGCTGGCTGGGCTGCAGCAGGTCATTGTGAGTGGACAAAGGGCCAGGCTGGGGACAAATGAATGAGTTTGGGATGATGCTTTTCACCAGGTTTGCTCTGAGGTGGTTTCTTCATCTGCCCCTCCTCTTCCTCCCGGCAGACTCCGAGACAGCTTTGGCTGACCTGGCCCTGGACGTGCTTCGTCTGGTGCTGGTGGATCACTGGGGCTGGCTGTGCACAGAGAACATCCAGAAGGTTTTCAATGTGCTCTTTGGGACCCTTGTTCAAAGGTAAGGCCAGAGTGAGCAGCCTGGCTGCTCTGTGAGAGGCATTCCCTTTGGAGTCACAGCTGGAGTGGAGCTTGTGCCTGAGTGCAGATAAATGCTGTGTGTGCAACAACCACCAAGGTTCTGTAAATCAGGTGCTCCATGAATGTGGAGTTACCACCTTAGAGATCTGCACCAGGAGCTGTTTTCTCCATGAGCAGCTCTAATGGGCAGCCTCCTGTCCCTTGAAATCAGGGAAAGGGAAGATCCAGCCCTGGGAGTGCGAGTCTTGGCTCGTGCAGGGCAGCAGTGCCCAGCTCTGGGGCTCTCTGGGGAGGATTGGCCTCCTGCTCTGTGCTGCCCAGGGCTTCAGCTTGTTCCTTCTGCAGAAGTAGAATAAACAGGCCCAGGGAACAGCAACTTGTCAGTGACAGCTCAGAGTGTGGTCTCTGCTCTCACTGCTGCACCCCTCTGCTCTGCCTGTGCCTGGGGCAGGGACCCACACATGGAGCAGGGACAGGCTTCCTTTCCAGCTGGGGTGCACTTGCCAAGCTTTCCTGGGGCCAGGGCCTCTGGGTGGTAAGGCTCCAGGCCAAGACACACAAACAGAGAATTCCTGTTTTTTGGTGTAGGTTGGTGACTATCACTAGCTGAGGATGTGGTTTTTTAGAGTGCAAGGAAAGCCTTCCCTGAAGGGCTTGGGAGAATCTTGGAGCAGTGCTTTTCCCACTCCTGTGCCCTTTCTTTTCCTACAGGCATCCAGAGCCAGCATCAGAATGTGCAGGGCAGCTCATTATAACAGAGCTGGTAACCTGAGCTGCCCTCAGCAGAGATTGCCAAAGTGCTGTGAGGTCAGGGACTGCTGTCCTTCAGTCCTGGCCTGTTCCTTCAGTGGCAGGAGGTGGGGGCTGCTCCCACTTCTCCAGAATGGGCTCTGGCCTCTTGGGAACAAGCTGCAACCCAATCTGTGTGTGTAAGCACAGAGGTATGAGAGCTTCAAGGGGCACATCATCACCTCCTAATAAGCTGTGTCCTGGTCACCCAGGGAGCCCGCAGCACCCACACGTGGCATTGGCATTTTCCACTAGAGAAGTTGGGATACACACAGCACATCCTGGAGCTGGAGGGTGGAGGAGCTCGCTGGGTTGTGTGGTGGATTAGGGTGAGGAGGAATGTGTTTGTAGCTGCTCCACTTGCACAGGTCAGAGTGAACCCACATGTGCTGCAGGCAGAGCTCTGGCTGGGGGTGATAAGGGGAAGCCCTGGGACTTCTTGGTGTCCCCATCAGTTCAGGGTGCAGCTACAACTTCTTGAGCAAACCCTGTGTCTGTGCTGAAATCCACATGGTGAGGCTGGCTCTGCTCTTGTTCTGGGACAATCAGGAATCCCAGGGGACAGGGGAAAGAGCTGACCTGTCACCAGGATGGTGTTGTACCTGGATTGCTGCAGGGAACATTTTCCTCCCAATTCTGCTGCCTGTAGTTACCTCCACAGTGGAGATCTGGGAATGGGGAGCCTTCCTGCAGTTTGCCATTCACCCTGGCCCTGAGGCTTGGACTCATTCCTGGCCCAGGTGGTCACTGCTGTCCTGAGCAGACCAGAAGGTCTCCAGCTCAGACCCGCCTGTCCAGGGACACAGTGTGAATTTGGTTCTATTTCTCTTCCATTTAAATATTTGCAACTTGATCACTGCTCAGCCTGGCACTGCCATTCTGGCTGGCACTGTGTCTGGGGACCCTTTACAGGTGGAGAAGGTACCAGAAAATCTTCTGGGAACATCTGCAATTCAAGGCATTGATGCTCCTGCCTCTGAGAACAGGCAGACAAACATGAGACAGCAGATGGATTTGGGTTGTGTCTTCAACCATTGCTGGTCACAAAGTATGAGTGGGCATCACCCCTTCAGGAGATTAGATCCTTCCTGTTCCTGCCAGTGGCTGGGTGAGGTGGTAGGGGATGTAAAGGAGGTGCCCTGGCTGTGTTTGGAGGGGCTGCTGCTGGACACTCCTCTGCCAGCTTGTATTTGGAAGGTAGGTGCTGCTCCTGCTGCCCTCTTGCAGCTGCCAGATGAGGATTCTGCTCTGGCATGAGACACTGGGTGCAGAGTGACAGAAATGAGCACAAACAAACAAAACTTACACCAAGAACGAGATCCAGCTTCTCCCAGGAGCCAGTCCCCCTTTCTTGGAGAACTTCCTGCCTTGGGCTGACAGTGCTCAAGATGATTCAGATGATTGATTCAGTGTGCTCACAGATGATTGCTGTGAGCACACTGTTACTGGTGGTGGGGCTGCCTGACCTGCTCCATTCCTTGTTCTGTGCAAGGNAGGACAGCATCCCTCAAGAATCACTGTTTACACCTCTTTCCCTGCTCACTCCTCAGCCCTGTCCCACATGATGCCAACCTGCTTCCTTTGGGTGTTGCTGTTCCCCAGTGCCCAGCTGTGTGGGAAGGACACCCTTGGCCCGAGTGCCTCTCCCAGGAAGAATGCAGACAGTCTGGCAGAGTGCAGGTTAAATAAAGTTTGCCTTGGCAGGGCTCTTGGCTGTGCTGGGAGCTGCCGGGGCGTAGTGGTGACGGAATTGCAAGCACGAACAGCAGCTGCCAAGAGGAACGGCTCTCCTGGCCCTGCTGGCTGCCTCCTGTCCTCTGGGAATCTTGAAGAACTGGCACAATCACAAACCTCTTCCCTACCCCAGTGCTGTGCTGACACTCCCAGCTTTGCTCCATGGCCAGTGAGGCCACAGCACCAGCAGTGCAGCACCCTGAGCCCTGCTGAACCTTCCTGTGGGGTTCGTCCACAGCCTCTCTGTTGTAGACATCTTTTAGGAAAAATCCTTTCCTTAGGATGTTTTTTCTCCTGAGAAGCTGGGAGGCCTCAGAAACAAAATGTAAACAATGGTTATCTGCTGCTGTGGAATGCAACAGGTGCATCTGGGATTGGTCTCATGTTGGTTGTTTCTAATTAATGACCAATCACAGTCAGCTGGCTTGGACAAGGAGTCTGAGACAAAGCCTTTGTTCTGATTCTTTCCTATTCTATTCTTAGCCAGCCTTCTGATGAAATCCTTTCTTCTATTCTTTTAGTATAGTTTTAATATAATATATATCATAAAATAATAAATCAACCCTCCGAAAAAAGGAAGCAACATCCTCATCTCTTCCATCAACCTGAGACCCCTGTGAACACAGTCACACCTCTGCTCATCATGAGGGCAAAGATTTTAGGCAGGTCAAGTTGTGACTGATGGCTGTGCCTTGTGCTGTGACTAGGAAGTGATTTCACATCTGTCCATCCACATGTTTGATTTAGAAACTGTGCCTGGCCAGCCCTTGGGTGGTGGGGACACATCATCCAGTGCAGCTGCAAACCCCTCCAAGCCCTTCTTGGGCGCTGGAATTTGGGGATTTGCAGGTGGTTACACAGAAAGGGCACAGTCCTGCCCCAGCAGGAGGGACCATCAGCAGTTCTGTTGGATTTTGGATGGGAACAGAAAAAATCTTGGCTGTGAGAGTATGGTGACCCTGGAGAAGCTGTGGCTGCCCCTTCCTTGGAAGTGTCCAAGGCCAGGTTGGATGGGGCTTGGAGCAACTTGGTCTAGTAGAAGGTGTCCCTGCCCAGGCTGGAATGAGATGAGCTTTAAGGTCCTAAAATCAAACCTTTGGGGATTCTGTTATCTCATTGCTTGCCATCAGTGGATGAAGCAGGACTGGACAGCAGGGCAGCATGGACAGCAGGATGAGAGGGGGGTGAAGCATCAGGATATTCATGCCTTGTCATCCTTGGAGTGTGTTTTGGTCTCCAGCAAAGACATCCTTGGCTGTCTCGGTAGCAGAGGGAGTGGTGAGAGGCTGCCAGAACAGGGCTCATGTCCTTCCAGTCCTTCCTGGGGTTGTTTGAAGTTCAACACCAGTTCCTCCAGCTCTCTCTCAGATTGTGCTTGGAGATAACTGAGGAGCTTCAGGCCAGTCATATCCCTGAGCTGGGCTTCCTTTAGTCACCAGTGATTCACTTGGGTCCCTGGGATTAGCAGGGTGATGGGGCTTGTAACAACCTTTGCTTGTCAGAAACACAGGGAACATATCCCACGTTTGGTGGGATATGTATGGAAAACTCAGCTAATTAAGACTTTTGGAAATCTTTGGTGTACAGAGATAAAAACTGCACGTTAACAAACCCAAAGAAGCTGATTTACCCTCTTGATGGGTGGAAATATCCCAACTGGGCTCCAAGCTGGACTTTTCCTGACCTTTGTCCCTCTCCCTGTTCTGCAGGTGGCTGGAGGTGCAGATGGTCACCCTGACCTGCACCCAGCGCTGGGTCCAGTACCTCCAGTTGCTGCAGGAATCCATCTGGCCTGGAGGAGTTCTACCAGCAGTGCCTAAACCCCCCAGGACAGAGGAGCAGAAGAAGGCAACAGCAGAGCAGGCCCTGCAGAGCCTGATGGGGATCTTGCCCAGTAAGTGTGTCCCAGAGACTTGTCAGCTGCCCTGGGACAGGAAAGCAGCTGGGGAACACTCCAGTGCACTGGAATCTCTGGAAATGTGGTTAAATACAGAGATGGAGGCTGCTCGTGCCAAGGCACTGGGAAACCTTCATGACCCTTGAGGTTTGATGGTTTCCTGCAAGCAAAACCCAGAGTTTTCCAGTTCTGGATAGTTTGTGTAAGGGTTTGGGAGGCAGCCCAGCTCAGAGGGAAAGGATGTGAGTCCAGGCCATGATTCAGTGCTCAGTTCTGAGCCACCTCACCAGGCAGGGCTCAGGACAGCCCTGCTCCCACCTGCTGCCAGAGGGTCCCAAGGTGAGCAAAGCCACCATGCAAAGCCTGTGGCTTTTGCACTGACTGAAATCCCAAGCCCAGCTGCACTGGATTTCCCTCTCTTGAAGTTTGACACGGGGACCTTTGGCATTAAAGCAGCTGCTGCCTAATCCTTGTGAGTGCAGGCTGAACTTTTAACTCCTTCATTAGTGTAAAGGGCCCTCACTGTCCTTTGGGAATGAAAAAGCACTGCTGGTATGTGCCCTTGCAGCCAGGAATGCTTTCCTGGCACTCCCTGCTCTCCCAGCCCCAGAGCACCATCATGAGCTTTGATTCAGCACCCACCAGGAGAAGGCTGACCTGTGGAAATATTCACTGCCTAAACCTTGTCTCCAACACTTCCAGATGTGATCCAAGAAATCCTTGGGACTAGTAAGTGTCAGATGAGCTGGAACCTGGTGCTGGAGTCACTCAGCCAGCCTGTGATCAACAGGTATGTGACTGTGGTGGGCTCTGAGCCTGTGATAAACAGGTTTGTGATTGTGGTTTTCACCCTGGTGGGCTCTGAGAGCTGTGATAAACAGGTTTGTGATTGTGTTCTTCACCCTGGTGGGCTCTGAGAGCTGTGCCCAGGGTTTTGCCAGTGCTGCTTGGCACCAAACACCCAGTTTATTATTCCAGGATTTGCAAAATCAGGGGGCATCTGCATATCTGGCTGCAGGTTATTAAGCCAGTCATGTTAATGATGTTGTTTGGCCTGCTTAGTTAGTGGATGTCAGGGAAGTCAGACAGATCTGGTTTAGTTTGGTTCTGGAGGAGCTGCAGGTCTGTGTAGGGGGTGTTTCTGTCTATTCCCAGTGCTGTGAGTCTGGAAGGGAAGGGTTTGGTGATGGACAACAGAGAAATGAGGGTCAGACTGGACATCAGGAGATATTTCTTCACTGAAAAAGTTGTTAAACATTAAAAGGGCTGCCCAGGGTGGTGTTGGAGTCTCCATCTTCTGAGGGTCCAGGGAACAACAGGATGTGGCACTCAGTGCTCTGGGCTGCTTGACAAGGTGGGGATTGATGATCTCAGGGGTCTTTTGTGTCTTCAGGGATCCTGTGATCCTGTGAAACACATGTTTTGCTCCAGAAGATGCATTTCTGTTTCCTTTGCTGCTCAGCAACTGCAACACCCACTGGTTTGGGGGAGGTGAAAAGAAACTGAACCACCTCTGGAAACATTTCTCTGGGGACCTGATATTGTTCCTCTCTCCCCTGGAGCACTGGAACACTCTTTCCTTGTGCTGAGCTTTGCCTCCCACGCCCTGCCCAGCCTAAGCTTTGTGTTTTTTCCATTCCAGGCACCTGGTGTTCTGCCTCCTGGACATTCTGCTGGAGTTCTTGGTTCTGAAGGGCTCCAGCCAGGAGCCTGAGGCTGCAGCTGCCACACCATGTGCCTGCAGTGGCACAGACAAAGGTGTCCCAGCACTTTAACCAGGCCTGGTGGCCCAGCAGTGGAGGAGAGAAGCAACCACAGGCATGGAGTGTTGGATTTTCATCCTTTACTGAACGTGCCTGGGAGCTTCCTGTAGGGAATTTCTCCAGCCAGTGCTAAATGAAGCTGCTTCCAGTCTTCTCTGTGTCAGCTGGGTGGTGGATCAAACCCAGAGGTGCTGTGCAGCATCTGTTCCATTGCTGACCTGATGGGGAGCCTGGAATGAACCAGCCTGACCAGCTGGAGAAGGAACCACAGACCCTTCTGAACATCTTTAACATCTACAGATCTGCTTTTGTGGCTCCAGGGTCCACCTGGCACTGAGAGTTGGTGTGCTGGCATCTGCTGCTGAATGTTTCTGCAGGACAGGGGAGGGTGCAGGGCTGTCCCTGCTGTCTGAGCAGCCTGCCCTGCACCAGCTGTGTCCCCAGAAGGAAGATGGGGAGAGGATGGAATGTGGAGAAGTCCTGGAGTGTGGAGATGTCCTGAAGTTCAGCATCCAACTGCCCAAACACATGGGAGGGGAGAGCAGGGCCAGAGGTGCTGCCCTGCCTTAGGGACAGAGATCAGCTGCTTCTCCCTGCTCTGGTTCTCAGTAGGTGCAGGCAGGTGTGATCCTGGCAAAGAGACTCCCCCAGGCTAGGGAGGAGTGCTGGCTTTGCTGGACTTCAGGACTCGTTTCTGTTGTGCTTTCTGAGTCACCTTTTAGTCCCTGGGACAGTCACCTGGAAGGCACAGGCCAAAGGAGCTGAGCCATGTGGGACACAGTAAATCAGCTCCCACACAAAGCTGGCTGTCACAGGAAGCTCTGGGAGAGGAATGAGGACCTTGGGCCCAGGGGAATCCTGGATGTGTGTCAGGGACAGGCAGTGGGTTAGAGCTGGGAGCACTGCCTGAGCTCTGCTGTCCATGCCTGGGTCACTGGGCTCTGCTCTGCTGTCCCTGCTGCTGCCACAGGGCTCTGGAAAGCTGCTCAGGTCATGGAGAAGGGATTTGGAGCTGCTTCTCCAGCTTGTCCAAGACTTGAGTGGCTTTGTGAGCACTTAATGTTCTCAGCAGTCAGGTTCTGGGAGTACTGAGGGACTCAGAGTGTGCAGCCACAGCCCAGCTTGGTGACCAGTTTGCTGACCAGTTTGCTGACCAGCTGTGCTGTATTTTCTGGGAGAAGCACAGACTGAGCAGTGCTGCTCTGGGCTGGTGAAGGTTCTCTGCAGATCTAAGGAGGTTCCACACAGGAGCCATGCAAGATCCCAGGTGTGTCTCTGCTGCAGGACCAGGTGGTTTCATCCTACAGAACATGGAATTCCAGGCTGGAAGAGACTGCTGCAGTTTTTTGGAGCTGGATGCTCCATGGCATGTTTGGAGAGAAGGCAGTGTAACTCCAGCATGTCTGTCCTGCTCTTCCAAAGGAGCTGTTTAATTATGGATACACAACAGTGTGAGCTGCTCTGGGCTTCTGTTGTGTGAAAATACAGGGAGGAATCATTTTGCTGCAAGCAAACAGATTTTTAGGGAGCTCTGAGGACATCCCAAGACCAGGCAGAATCCAGTGTCATGAAGCAAAATCAGTTCTGCATCACCACTGGAGCCAGTTCTCTTCAGAGATGGTAGCTTGGCCACCTGCTTGGAGAAGAAGGGAGGTGTGAGTTAAGTGGTTTAAGAGAAGATGAGGTGGAGAATGCTTTGGGATAATCCCAAATGGCCAAAAAGGAGTTTGAGAAACAGGACTCAGATAAATCCTTAAATATCTGCTTGTATTTCACTGCCAGGCTCTGTTTCCCTCCTTTTCCTCCTGCTTCCATTTCCACCCCAGGTGTCAGGAGGGGCACAGGGCACCCCGAGCCAGGGCTGATGCAGCAGAGCCCTGGTGGCTTCCCAGATGTTCCTGCTGTTCCTGTTTGCTGTTGCTTCCCAATGAATTTTGTGGCTTTGGAGCTCCAGGACTGAGGTCTGTCATTAATTAGGGAGAGTATTGAGAGGCTTTGCTGAAGAGGATGATGGAGTACAAATTATCCACTGCCAGCTCCAGGTTAGGGCAAAAGTCTGAAACAGTCCCTGCACACACTGGATGTGGCACTGGGAGGATGAGCTGACACTTGTCCTTTGCCAGGAAGCCCAAATTCTCCCAGCTTTTAACCCCCATCTCTGAAATGATGCAAATGACTGAATATTCAGTCCTCCAGATGGAAATAATCTGTGATTTCTGCCAGCTTGGGAGCTTTGGATGCTTTGCTGGGCTGGTGCAGCAATGATTTGCGGTTGTCCCAGCAGCCCCAAATCATTCCACTCCCTCTGTGTTAAGATTCAAAGAGCTGGGACAGAGAGACGGAAAGGGGATTTATTTATGTGCACTCACAAGGCAGAGTGAGGAACAGACCTAAGGAGTTTGAACTGCAAAATGTTGTTTTACCCTGCAGAACTCCCTTTTTTGTCTCAGATATGAGGGGTTGGATCCCTTTCTCCTGGCTGGGCTTCAAATTCCCATTTGTGCAGCCCTGCAGCTGAGTTGAAGTGCCCAGGAGCAAAGAGCCCCTCTCTGCATCATGTTGTCAAGGACTAAAACCAATCCAATAAAAAGCTCAGCTTTTTTATCTACTGAGAGTTCTTTGCCTCACTGTGATTTTGGGATTAAATTGAGCACAATGGTGGCAGATACAAACTGCTGCATTCAGGTGGGCTGAAAGTTTATTTCCCTTGGACTAAGACTAGAAAAACTGCTCTGGTAAAACAAACAAGCTTAAGCTTGCTCAGTGTGTCATATTCCCAGCAAGCTCCTTTTTTTCTGCAGGAATTTGTAGAAGGAATTTGCAGAAGGAATTCGTGGAAGGCTCCAGCACCTCTGTAAAGGGTGGGTGGTGAGAGCAGCCAGATTTGACCTCAAGAAGGAGTTGCAGCTTTGTGCCACGTTAGGTCAAGAGCAGCACCTGCCTCAGGTGGGTGCTCAGCTCTCCTTCTCCAGGTCCTTCAGCCCTGTGTGATCTCCCTCCAGCCCAGCACTTGCTGATTTGTGAAGTGTTCCCCTTCCCACTGCCTTAGTTTCCCACAGCTGACTGGAATCTTCCTGGAAGCAGGGATGTGAATGACTGAGTGCAGTGGTGGAGAGCTCCAAGGCACCGCTCTTAAGCTAAATAATCATTAAATTGTATTTTTAGGAGGAAAAAAGCCCCACCATGCACTGACTCCCTGTCCCATTTCCTGTACTCAACCCTTTGTATCAGCTGTTTGTGGTGCTGTTGGAGTCTCTGTGGAATTCTGCCGGCTGGAAAAACCCATTTAATTGTTAAATGGGGAGCAAACCTCCACTCCCATGTACTTGTGTGCAATAAGACTTTATTTCAAACTTACTTCTCTGTCAGAGTTTAAAATCTGCNGGACCATCCCAGCACTCTGCTCCTTCCCCTGCTCCTCAGCAGGGCTGGCTGGAGCCAGCCCCATCAGTCTCCCTGCCTGTCAGGCCGGTGGCAGTGGGACAGGAAGGCTCCATGACCGAAAAAGGGATTGTTGAGGAAAGGGCGGCCGTGTGTGCGAGCCGGGTCTGCACTGAGCCCGTCCCATTATGTAACAGGGAGTGAGCCTTTTTTGGAGCTGAAAGGAGAGGAGGATGGAGGGGCTGGGAGTGGGAATGACCCTGGGGCCGAGGATTGCTTCCAGCAGCCTCTCAGCGTGCTGGGGCCGTGCCTGTAAACAAACCCCAAACCCTCTGTCCCCTCCCGCCTCTGTCCGGCTCCGCTTCCCTCCTGCCCTGCAGGGATCAGCTCCTCTTCCTTCCCCTGGGAGCTGCAGCAGGAACCTGCTGGCACAGGGGAGGAGGTGGGGCTGTTCTGAGCTCCGGTGGAAGCATTTGGAGAATCTGGGTGCTTTTTAGAGCCTTGTGAGTCAATGAGGTGTTAAAAATACGCAGCAAACACGCGAACCACGAATGCTGGGACCCCACACCCTGCTGGGACCCCACACCCTGCTGGGACCCCACACCCTGCCCTCTGTTGTCCCCACAGTGTCCACAGGTCTGGGGTTTGTCAGTGCCCTGCAGAGCTGGGGCACAGTGCTGAGGCTGCTGGGACCCCCACCCTGTCCTCAGTTGTCCCCACAGTGGCCTCAGAGGATTGTCAGTGCCCTGCAGAGCTGGGCACAGTGCTGGGAGCAGGGTGACAGCCACCACCTCTGCTTTCCAAAGAGGAGTGCCAGCACCCCAAGGATGGACCTGGGAGGATTTGAGGGGCAGATGCTGGTCTATAAGCTTTTCCTGGCTCCTTCTCATGCAGCACAACAACAAGCCATGGCCACAGAGCACTGAGTGGGGGAAGGTGTCTCAGCACACCCCGGCTGTCTGTGCCCTGGAACCTGAGCAGGGCTGGGCACAGAGTCTGTGCCAGGCTCGGAAGTGCCTGTGCCTGAAAGGAGCATGTGGAACTACTCAGGCAGCTTTGCTGGTGTCATGTTCCACTGAGCAGGAGTTAAAATAAATGCAAATCATCCCTGCCTTACCCACGAGCTCAGCACTGCTTGGCTTGCTGTGTGCTTTGGGTCATTCCTGTGCTCCTCCATGTCCCCTCATCCCTTGGCCAAACTGGAAGTTTTGAGGAGGTGACATTCCAGCCTCTGTGAGCTGTAGGTGGAGAGGCAGAGATGCTTTGAGACTGGCTGCAGGTGGCCATCGTGCCTTTGAGAACTGGTTCTTGCAAGTTCATGCTGTCACCTTGGTGTTGGGCTCTGCTGGTGTCAGGCTGAGTGTCACAGGCACTTGTAACTCAAGGAGGTCTGGAGCTTCAGAGAGCTCCTGCCTGGTGCTTTGTTCTGATTTTCTCTTTGGTTTTCTTTGATCTCTGTGCCAACAGAACTGGCACAAAGACCCTTGGCAGCCACCTTGATCCTCTTGACTGGAAAGTGCCACCAGCAGAGAGTGATGCCTGCCCCTCTTCAGTGTCCCTGAGTAAACCTGGAGCAGCCAAGCAGCCCTGGGAGCACAGTGCCCATGGGCAGGGAGTTCTGCCAGCCCTGGGGCCATGGAGGGGCCATGTCTGACAGCTGAGACTGCGCTCCTGCTTCCCTTTGGCTTCCTGGCTGGCAGATATCACTGCAGCCTCAGGCAGTGCCTGAGTTTTGCTGGCAGGAATGCAATATCAGTGCAGCTGGAGCATCTGAATCCACTCATTCTCCTGGTTTGTTACCTGGGGAGTGGATTTGGGCATGTTTGATGAGGATCTTTGCAGCTGCACACAGAGGGGCTGTGCTGGCAGGCCCAGCTATGTGGCAGCAAAGTCTCCTTGTCCCTAAAAACAATCCTAAAAGCAGCACCAGAGTTGGGAATTAGGGAACCAACATTAGGGCATCTTGCTCCTCATTTCTGGGTTTGGCTGTTTGTGTTGTAGCCGTGAGGAGCAGCAGGAACTGCAGCCTGTGGTATGTCAGTAAAAGTGATTTCAGGACTCTCTGTGTCTTGGTGTGTATATGCAAAGTAAATAAAATCAGCTTGGAAATGGGCCTCGATTCAGTTGTCTCCAAGCACCTGGAAATTTTGGATCTGGCTTTGAATCTCTGTCCCAAACAAAATTTTTTTCCCCTCTTCTAGAAGCAGCATTCTTCCAAAAACAGCCACTAGAATGAAGCCAGCACTCCATGCTTTGATAATAATTGCAACATTATTCTAACTGATTCTGTTTGCCAGCTTTTTTCCTGGATTTAAAAAAGCTCAACAACTTCCTATTTCAAATAGAACAAAGAAGAAAAGGATTGAGTGGAAGTCATGTCTCCCTGTTGGTTTTAGTTTTCCCTGGTTTTAGAAGGGTTAATAGTGGGTTTATGTATTTTGATTCTGAAGTGGGCTAATGAAGCAATTGTTCCAAGCAGGGTCTGGCTGAGACAGCCTGGCCTCTCCCTGGGGCACCACTGAGAGCTTAATTGGCTCAATAAATACTTGAAGAAGATGTTATCAAAAGCCAGGATGCTTTGTGAAAAATCAAGGGGGTTTGGGGATGATTATTTTAATCACATACCTTTCCCCCCCTTCCCTGAGCCCCAGGGCATCTCAGGAAGATCCAGGCTGGGAAAAGCAATGGTTCATTCCCTGCAGGGTGAAACCATTGCAGCCCTGTGAGTTTCCATGATTTCTTCATGCAGCAGGTGTGTTTTGAGGGAGCAACACATGAAATGGCACAGAAATCCCAGCTCCAAGGGGTGCTTTCCTCCCTGCAGGGGTGAATGATTGCCTGCAGAAGAGAATGATTTCTTTTCCTTCCTCTCTGCCCCACAGTAAGATGTCCTGCACACCCACAACTCCCAGAGTTTCTGCAGGTAGGAAAGGTGGGAAGCCAGCCAGGTCCAGGATGGGTTGCTTACAACTCTAAACCTTCTCAGGGCACCAGCAGAGGAACATTTCAAGAAGGAGAATTTTTACAGAATTTAAAAGGCCTCAGGATGCTTCATGTCCTTTCATTTATGGAGGTATTTTTTCCTTTTTTTTCCTGTTTCCTTCCTCAGCACAGGGTTTACCCATGGCCTGGACAAGTGTGAGGTTGCTTTGAAGGTGCTGAGTTGAGCATGCTGCACATTTCTGCTGTGTGGAGAAGGTGGATTTAGGTTCAGGTAGCAGGGGCTGAAAGCTGAGCCTTAGGGCAAAAATTCTCCATTTTTATTTTTCAATTCTTGCTGTGCCCACTGCAGCTGCTGCTTCATTTTCACAACGTTTCCTCAGAAAGGTTTTGCAGTCAAAGCACTGCAGTGTTCCTTCTCTTGAACCCTTGAGTTAGGATAATCTTGTGCATTATCTGAGGAGGAATCTGGGGAACAAGAGCTGGTAAGGCAGGGATGGTCTGGTGATTTAAGCACCAGACTTTCTTAATTTCAGAGTCATGCTTGAATGCCTCGTGTTTTCCAGATGTTGATTTTTTGCTTCAATCCTTTTCACTACGTTGGTCCCAGAGGGCTTTTTGAGCTTCTGGATCTCCACACTGTATTCCTTAGGGCAGGGGTTCTGTTCTGGGGTGGGCAGCACTCTGGGGTGAGCTGGACATGCTAGTTCATGTATATCTGTAGAGCTGTTTGTATTTATGCAGCTAAAGCAGAGCTTTGTTCTCCTCTTTGTCATCTTTGTCATCTTCTAGCCTGGCCTTCAGCTTGTGTTTATCTAAATCCTTAAAACCCCTGGGTTTGAGGAAATCACAATTGCTGTTGTTTCAGGTTTCAATTACAGTCAGTGTATTTCACTTGACTGTTCCTTAGCTGAGGTGATCTCAGTTTTTATCCTCACCTTGATGGACAAAAAGAGCAGGTGGGTGTAAATCTGCAGACTGTTACGTCTCTTTGTTCATTCTTAGTACATCTTTGATGTCCAGACTAAGCAAATCCAGCCTGTCCTTGCTGAGCTGAGCTCTCTGGATGGTCCAGTTAAGTGAGAGGCTCCAGCCAGGTAAAACCAAGCCCATTTACCTGTCCCTGACTCTCAGCCTGCCTTTCCTCCCTCCTAGGAGCCCAAGGAATGCCAAGGTTTTCACCCCCAGCCCTTATTTTTCATTCCCAGGCCCTTCTTATCCTAATGGACCTCTTCAGCTGACCTTGGAGTTCCAGCTTGAACCGTGGCATTAATTTGGCTCTTTTTTAGCAGCCATTTCATTCCCCCAGCAGCAGCTATTTCAAACAGAGGTGCCTTACAGCATGGGCAAGGTATGTCCCTGCAGATTATCTGCCAGGCCTCAGTAGCCTTTGCAGTCTGGCTCTTTGCATTGGGCTCTATCAAAGCATTCTGAGCCCAGCAGGTCACTTTATCTATTTCTGAAGCGTAAGGAGATGGTTTTGTGATGGGTTTATTTTTTTCTTTCTTATTAAGGCTATTTCTTCATGAAATAGCAGAATGAAAATAGTAACTCATCAGCCATCCAAAAATAAAAAAAAAATAAGAGAGGTCTATTTATGTTTCTTGGTGGATTTATTTCTACCTGAGAGCAGTGTGTGAGTGCTTTCAATGTGGCACTGAATCTCAAATGCTTAGGCCTTTAATAGCACAAAAAATCATCTGTGACCTGCTGGTGAAGGTCAGCTTTGAACCAGCAGATATCTGGAGTTCCTGAGGGGTTAATCCCAATCCTGGTGCAGCAAGTCTGCCTGATGGAAAGGTCAATTTGCCATTTTCTGGGGTTTACTCAGGTAGGAATTTTCAATAAAATTGGTGTGACTCTCTCTGAGTTGCAACTACAGGTGTGGGAGTTGAGGGGACATTTTTGGGATGTCCTGTGCAGGGCCAGCAGTTGGACTTGACTTTCCTTGTGGGTCCCTTCCAATTCAGGATATTCTGTGAATTAATTTTCTCCTCACAGAGTAAATGCTGGTGCAGCTCTCTGTGTGTTGGAAT